TTATAAAATTATAAAAATAATATTCTGCTTATCGTGTTTCGTGTTACCCACGTGTATACCCGAACCAACCTGTTATCTTAACAGGTACTTATCGGGTTACCCGATAAGACCCGATTCGTTATCGTGTCGACTCAAACACCTGTTAATTTCGTGTCGTGTCGGGTCGGGTTATCGGGTCGTGTCAGAAATTGCCAGGCCTAGTATTTACACACTTAAGGGGGAGTGTTGTAAACATTCCTAGTTTAAGTGTGATTGTGTAAATGCCAGATTAGATTTGATTCTAGTTATCCTTTCCTATTACAACTTGTATTACTTGGGAAAGAAGGAATATCTTATCTCCTTTTACTACTATAAATAAAGGCACAATGTTGGAGGAATAACAATACACATTCCCCTACAATTCTACAAATACATCTCTCTCAATTTCTCTACCCTTGCCGCCGGCCCCCTTTAACCTTGTTAGATAAAATAGGCTACAACAAAACCTTATTTATTGTCATGAAAATTACAATTAAAATATAGAAAGGAATACTTACGAAAATGTTGTTCGCAACCTGATAGGAGCATATTTATGCGCCTTAGTTAGCTAGTGCTTATGCATTTTTGTTATGTTTTCTTCGTTAAAGTAGTCTTTTAAGCTACTTTCATGTGTTTTCAGGTTTAAAGGACATATTACATGAAATGATGCAATTTGGAGCTTTTGGAGCAAAAACTGAGCTGGAATGTGGTGTATGCAAATGGAGCACGAGGAATGGACGTGATTGAAGGTGAAAGGAGTTCAAGAAATGAAGAAATGAAAGTGAAGAGCAAAGAAGTCGGAATTGGCAACCAAAGTTTCTAAAGTTGGAAGTTTCTATTCTTGGAGGTTTCCATTGTCGTGAGTTTCTATTCTTGGCTTTGGGCTTTTAGATGACCTAAACCCTAACTCCTTGTGGATCCTAAGCCTATGCCGCACCTAATGTTCTAGTTTTAATCTTAGCCATTCACCCACCACTCTAATTATTCACCCTAATTCTTAACAGCTGCAGCACCATATTCCCCTTTTTCCCCATTCATTCACAAAACCGTAGCATCCATACACCATTCTCTTAAAAAGCCGCAGCCATCATCCCATAATTTCTAAAAAAAACCGTGCAGCCACATTCACCCTAATAAACATAAAAAATCATTCAAAGCCGCAGCACCAACCCATTAAAAAAACCCTTCAATCCGTGCATCCATTCCTCTCCACTTCCCATTATCCATATACAACCCGTGCATTGCCATTAACCCTAAAAAAACTAAAAAATGATGCCAGCCGTGGGTTCCCATTGATTCCATTTCTTATTCAGCCATTATCTCCCATTCCTCTCCATAATCCATGCACTTCCACATATATACCTACCATTCACACTTAAATGCCCATTATCCCATTTTTTTAGCTTTTAGCCGCAAGCATTCCATCTTAAAATAACCCTAATCTTTCAGCCAAATGCCCATAATTCCCACCAGCCACACCTTTTCCCTTCCACCAAATACCTTAAACAAACATCCATTCACATCTCTAATCCTCCTATAAATACCCATTCATTCCATTCACCAAATCATCTCATTTTCCATTGTAATACACAAACACTTCCCCTTCTCCATTTCCTCCATTTCCACTCCATTCCACACTTCCATCCCCCCAACCAACCTATCCTTAAACCTTGTGCTACAACAACGAGGAAGAGAAGAGTGCCTAAACGTTCATACAATTCAAGTTTTGAGTTGTTGGAATGTTTAGGTGTTTCTTTGATTTCAAAGTTTCATTTTAATTCTCTTTGTTTTGTACGTATAAGGAATGGAAGAGAAGAGTGCTTAAACGTTCATACAATTCAAGTTTTGAGTTGTTGGAATGTTTAGGTGTTTCTTTGATTTCAAAGTTATGAGGAACTAAACCCCCTTTAGCTAGGGGGTGATTCGAAACTATGTTTATATTTGCAATATGAATTGATTAACTTTCGTTGGAATTTCATAAGTTGTGGATTCAATTTGTTTAACCGTTTGATTGATAACTTATTTATGAATGTTTATTAAGAATGCGCGCTTAATTTTCATGCATAAATATGACGCTAGAATATAAGTGAATTTCACCTAATCGTTTTGAACTTATATTCACAAGTAGTGGAGGTTGCTTATAAACAATCACGTTAAATGAATTCTTGGCACGAGTTTCATGCTCATCATAGTAACGAATGCCTCGTCAACACTTATAGTTTTCATAATGCTTAATGATCTTTGATTGTATCTTTATTGTGCTGTTCACGTAAAGGACTTTTGGAGAATGTTGTGAATTGCGTTGCGCAAACCCATCCAATTCATTAACTTAAAGAAAACTTGACGGTTAATTTAAGCGGACCTAATTAATCCGGAGTGTTGAGTTTCATAATTTATCGAAAGACCAACTGAGAATCAATCTTGTATGCAAGTATAACATGCGTGGAGAAGAACCCCTTAGCTAGCCTTCATTCCATTCATTCCATCACAAATTCATATTTACATTCCGCTTAGTTTATTAACTTGTTTTGTTATTTCAATTTTCGTCAAATCAAAACTTTCCCCCCCCCCTTACTTTCTTATTCTTTAGTGCTTAGAATCTGTTTAGTTTATGTTTTAAAGTATTTTGAATCAAGCCATAATCTTAAATTCGTCCAAAATTAGTTTTGAGTCTTTTGGTTTGTCTTAATGTTTTAAATTTTAGTTTTGCATTCTTTGAGTCTAGTTTAGTGTTTTATATTGTTTTTACGTTTTTAAGTCAATTTAGAAGGTTTTAGCAAGCCCTCCTAATCCCCGGTCTAGAACGATCCCTCACTTATCCATTCTACTACAATTGTCGAACGAGGGTTTAATTTGAGTGTCAAGTAATTCTCGCATCACAACCTTGTTGCCATAATTGGCATGCGTTTCCCCTCCAAACCTCCACCTTTGGGAAATGTGAACCAGTCGCCCATTGTTCCTCAACCTGATAAGATAAGGGTCGAGAACCGAAGTGATGAAGGTATGGCTTCTTCTCCAGGTTACCTTTATTTGCTGCTGATTTTTTCTGTCAATTAAAAATATTAATTAAACTTAACTAAAAAAAATATAAAATTGAACTAATATTGAAATATAAATAAAATTTAATTACCTGAAATTTTTTACTCTGAAAATTACTGCACAACCACTGCCATTCGCCCACCCTCTCCACAAATTCCTAGGGTGGACCCATAGGAGCTGCCTCAGGAGACACACAAATCTAGTAGTACTTATGTAACTCGTACTTCTATTCCTTACACTGCTCCCTCTACACCCGATTTATGTACTTGAGACAAGCCTTGTTATGCTCATTCCCACTCGAAGTTGGCATGAATTCCATAAAAAATATATATATATAAAAAAAAATATAACCAAATAGTTTAGTTTTATACCACATCAAATAAGTAAAGGAATTTTTTTTAAAAAAATTATTGTATACTTACCAAAAGCTGTCGGTTTATCTTGCACGAACCTGGGGGCTATGCATCTTCCAGGAATCACCTGCCATGTGGCATTTGTTGCAGAAGATGGCATCCATGTTGTGAGTCAACAAACTGTTGACTTTGTCACTCGTTTGGTGGTGACTGGGGAGGTGTACAACTCGGATTCGCTTATGTGTAACTCGAGTGATCAAGTTGCTCACCAACAACCTACAAAGCCCTCGATTTTTTTGGTCCTCGGGCTGATGGGGAGCTCTCTATCTCCCACCTCTTCCATGGCCGCTGAATCGTTCTCTGCGCTACGGTTGCCCTGAGAAGGTTAGGATAAGGCTAGGCTGGGGGCTGCCACATGCTTGTGGCGTTTGCGACTGTGAGGCCGCTTGGTAGATCATGCCATCTAGGTTAATGGCGCATAACTGCTCGCACCGGGGGCCGACTTGGTAGTGGCCGTTTGGATCTCGCTGGTCTCCTAAGTGGCGTTTGGGGTCAACCCCTCACTCTAAGCAGAGGCGGAGGCAGAGTTGCCAATAATGATCAGGCATGAAGACATCTGTGAAAAAAAAATCATGATTTCTAAAATTTCCTACTATTTCTCATGTTTCTAAAATTTTACTAAACTTAAACATTTCCTACAAATTTCTCAAATTTAATCAATTTCCCACCACCATTGTATCCACCCTACCACCACCACCACTGTATCCACCCTACCACCACCACCACCCCACAACCACTATAGACCTCACTACCTAGTACTCCCACCCCACCACCATTACCACCACTGTACTCACCCCACCCACATATCACAACGTATTTCCAAGTCAAATCACACCATAATCAATCACAATTTGAAATCAAATCCTAACATAATCAATCCACTAATCATAGAATAATCAAATCCTAACAATTTCAAATTAAAAATAATATAGAAGAGAGATTATATGCACACCCCAAATTACTTCCCTACATCTTTTTATTTTTTATTTTTATATTTTTTTAATATTTTAAACACCACTAACATTTGGTAGAAAAATATTAAAAAATTAAAAGTATGTGAGGAAAGTAATTTGGGGTGTGAAAATATAATCTCTCTAAATAAAATAAAAATAGGGAGAGAGAAACAGACTTATAGTTGAGAAATGGGAGACAGAGAGAGGGGAGGATTTGAGAGAGAGACAGAGACAGAGGAGTTCAGAAAGAGAGAGGATAGAGAAGGAGTGATTGCAGAGAGGCTTTCAGTGTTGCACGGCACGAGGAAGAAAGAAGAAGGGTATGAGGGTTATAACCTTTAAATCTTTGCCTGGCGGACGGTTCGTCGAGCAAAAACTTTAAAATTTTTCCACGTATTGAAAAACCTAAATTTTTGTGGGACAAAAACTAAAGTCACCTCCAATCTGATCAGAGGATCAGAAAGTCAAAAATAATTTGTAATAACACGAAAATCGTATTCAACCAAAAACTAAACTAAAAAACTCGTATGACCCACCGGACCAAAAAAGAAGAATTAAGTCAACCTGCTGGCCCGAAGGAGCCAGCTAGCCCGGGCTGACTTCCTCCATCTCCCAAACACGTTCCGTACAATGTGCATCTCCCCAACGATTATCACAAAACTCTGTGTCTTGTGAAAGAGACCCAAAACAAGGCTGCATCGGCCGGCGCAAGGGCTGACTGTGCCACTGCTGGTGAAGACGATTCTGAAGATCTTGGATCGGGCAACGGAGTATGCGACGGGAGAGCTGCTGTCGTTGTGCTAGAATACCTCGCCGCTGAGGTTAGTTTGTTTTTTCATCTATGTGGGTTCTATTGTTTTTAGTTTTGGGTTTGATTTTGATTGTGCAATTTCATGCAATTTCATGTCTTTGGAATTTGGGTCGATCTAATTATGAGTATAATTTTCTGGGTTTAATCCAATTTCTGGATACAAATCGGTTTAGTAATGTGTTATTAGTTTTTGAAATTCAACATTTGTTCGTTATTGGTGGGTTTTGATTCCCTGGAGTTTGATTGGTTAAGATTTTCATGTTTATTGGCATTGTATATCTCGAACTTTTATGGGTTTGATCTGATTTTTTCTTGTGAAATTTTGTTTAGGTGTTGGAGCTCGCTGGAAACGCTGCAAGGGACAACAACAAGAACCGCATTATTCGTGGCCCGAGTGCCCTTTTGAATTTCACTTCTTTTTTTTCTTTTTTTTTTAATTTTCTTAATCTCTAATTTTTCAGTTTTTTAGTAGGAAAAAAAAAAGTAAAAAGGAAAGTAAAATTGAGGTTGTAGATTATTGGTATATAAAAATATTGTAATTTTTTGTGTATTTTGTATGTAAGAATTTTTGTTTAGATTATTGGTATATAAAAATGTTGTAATTTTCTGTTTTTGTCTGTGTGGGTGATTAGTTTGTTTTTGTTTTATTTTTGTGTTTATCTAGAATTTGTAAATTCTAGGGTTGACGGGGAAGAAACGGGATTATTGGAGGGACGCGTTTGGCGATACGGACAGTTAACTTCGATACCAATAGACTCTCGTTTTAGGACTTCGGACCCACCGTTGACAGGGAGGATCTTCATAAATTAAAATAATAAATTATGATTAATTCTATAATCCTTCGATCCTTTCGGTTGGAGATGATTTTTTGTCTGAGGGTTATGTTTGGCTTATGATTTTCTGGCTCCTCAGTTGAAGATAGTAAGAAATATAGCATAACAGTGTTTATTAAAATATTAATTTCTTTAAAGGTTATAGTATTAAAACGAACCATTTGACCTTCTTTTGATTGGAGATGACCTAAGAGTTTGTCTGGCAAGGTCACCTAAAATCTTTAGTTTAGTCAACAAATTGGTGGGACATAGAGTTTGGCTGACGAAATTTTTGTTTCGTCAATTTACCTTTGTTTTAGGGCGAATTTGAATTTTTGGAAAAATTTTGTGTGGGTTTTCTTTCACTTTGCCCGGCGAACGTTTACCACTAGCCGACAGAATTTAGAAAGGGGGTATGATATCCACACACTCCATTTTACTTCTCACACACCCTTCCAATTTTCGATCGTCAGATCGGATGAATTAAAGAAGATCAACGGACAGAAATTAACAAGGGGTGTGTGAGAAGTAATTTGGGGTGTGTGGATAACACACCCCTTTAGAAAGTTGACCCAACAAAGATGAGTATTTCGTCTTTTGAACATTAAGTTCAAGCAGGTAAAAAAAATCATCGAATATAATGCCCATGTCAATTTAGTGTGTGCTTTTACTCTTAATTTGGGGTCTTGTAAAAAATAGGCAAGTTCAGAGTTAAAACAATTGTTAAATCGTGAATTTTTGCTTCTAATCGTCGAATGATTTTGTCTTGTTACCTATCTTTGAATGCTTTTTTGGGTATTTTTGGCATAGGAGATCTCAAAGTATATGCAAACATGTTTGACTGTTGGATAGTGGAAACTAGTTTCGTAGAATATATGTCCCGTCAAAAGAATGGATTGCAAAAATACTTCGAGCTTATTCTATACTTCTCTTAAGTAGAATGTAAGTTGTTGCTGTATCCATTAGTTTAAATATTTTAAACTAATGATTGGGTTCATTATCGTATTATCTAGGTTGACGATTGTATTTGTTAAAAAGCAACAAAATTGGAGTTAAAACAACCGTTAAATCATGATTTTTCATTTCTAACCGTCAAATAATTATGTCCCATTACCTAATCTTTGAACTTTTTTTGGGTGATTCTTATGGTAGGAGATCTCAAAGTATATGCAAAAATGTTTGACGGTTGGATTGTGAAAACTAGTATCGTAGAATGTGTCCAATCAAAAGAATGGTTAAAAAGCACTTGGAATTTATTCTATACTTCCATAAGTAAAATGTAGGCTTTGTTATATCCACTAGTTTAAATATTTTACATTGATAATCGGGTTCGTTCATCGTATTTTTCTAGGGTAGAGGATTGCATTTGTAAAAAATCAACAAAATCGGAGTTAAAATGATTGTTAAATCATGAATTTTCTTTTCAAACTGTCGAATGATTTTGTCCCGTTACCTAATCTCCAAAAAAAAAAATTAGATGATTCTTGGTGTAGGAGATCTCAAAGTATATGGAAACATGTTTGACTATTGGATTGTGGAAACTAGTTTTGTAGAATGCAAGTCTCGTCAAAAGAATGGATTCCAAAACACTTAAAGTTTGTTCTATACTTCCATTAAGTAGAATGTAGGTTGTTTTTGTATCCACTGGTTTAAATATTTTAATTTGATGATACGGGTTTGTTCATCATATTCTTCTAGGGTTGAGGATTGTGTAAAAAATCAACAAAATCAGAATTAAAACGACCTTCAAATTGTGATTTTTCTTTTTTAACCGTCGAATGATTTCATCCCATTATCTAACCCCGAATGTTTCTTTTCTCGAAGTATATGCAAATATGTTTATATACCTTCCAACTACTAGTTTTACTATTTTCCTTTGAAATCTTAGAGATGCTCGATGTGAACCCCCACAATTGGCTATCATGCTCATCCCTCTTCTTGCACTCACTCTGATTTGTATCACAAATACTGCTCCCTAGTTCTCATAATTGAAGCAAATAGTAGGGCCAGTTTGATGGAAGTTCATTAGGAAAGGTTGGTCGCCCTAAACCTTAAAGTCTCAACCGTTATTAAGATTAAGACCTAATTAAGCCTTTGCACAACGGAGGGAAACAATGAATCAATGAAACTATCCGTCGATTAAAGCTGACCTAGTCGACGTACCAGTTTGTCGTCGCACAAACCTTCAAGTATTACGTGCCATTTTATTTCTCTTAGCGCTAAGAACTTGCTTAACGAATGTAACCTTGTCCTTGAACTTGTTTCGTCTCGTAAAGGTTTCCATAAACTCTAAATGTTGACTAGCTTTGCCCTACCAACAGAAAAATATATCCGGTAAAGAGCCTTTACCAGACAAATTCTTCTCGGTCGAGCAAGTTTTTGTAGGGCAAGTCCTATTTTATGGTAGTGGTGGGATTTGTGTTTTATTATGTGTTCGGTTTTCATTTACAGTATTAGTGTTTTACTATTTTGTTCTAGAAACTAAGGATCAGCAAAGGCGCACACGCCATGTTTGCGTAAGTTGAAGTATCAAACTGGATATCTTGGGAATTTAATTTTTTGTTTTGCTTTGCAGAGGAGGATGTGAACCAAGTAACGAGATTAGAACGTGTTGCAATGTAATACCGAGTTGAATGTAGCAAGAATTGGATCCAAAGAGCAGAGGATGACCCACATTCAACTCACCAATTAATCAGTTGATTGACTTGTTGACTTAAAAAAGTCTCACTACTCAGTACTACGGTCTGATAGTCTTCCTCTTCACTTGTAAATAAGAGGTTTTAGGTTTGAATTTTGTAGATGGTGAATTCGATACCAAATTAGGTTGCTCATTGCGTGATTTAGCCATACTTCTCCTTATTTTAATATAAAATATATCGTAGTATTAAAAAAAAAAAAAACATATTGAATGTCCCCAGTCCACTCGGGCACTTCCTGACCAAATAGGCGTGGAAGTGGAACACTAAAACTTCTAATATATAAGAATAACCCAATTTTCTTGTAGTGGTATTAACATACTATATAAATTCGTTTTCCAAACGGTAAGGAAAAATATTTTTTAAAAAAGAGTAATGTTAGAACAATTTGTTGGTAAAAATATTGAGAGGTAAGCCAAGGGACCATAACTGCAAACCTACTCATTAGAAATGTTATTCGTATTCAAAGTTTGAGTTTGTTTACAAATTACATACAGTAATGCTTTCCTGATCATCAGTGATATGGATAATTAATTGTCACTCATTTTTAAATTTGATATCAAATGGTGAGATTTAAACAATAGAAGCACATGCATCTAATCTTCACACTAAATATTAAATTCAACGATAAGTTGCCATACATTAATATTTTGTGAACTGAGTTGATTTTATTGTTTTAACCCTCACATGAACAAAATTCTGAATCCGTACTGCACGAGAGATACATGGTATTGTAGCATCCAACGGAACTAGCAATAGGCTTCATCTTCAAGCGATAAAAGGATGAGTCAAACATGACTCTCGAACGATCCGACCCACCACCGTAGACGTGAAATCCACAAATGTGAGGACTCAGAGGTGCACTAGCAGGAAACGAAAACAAGAAGACATCAAAAGGGGTAAGCCCAAAAGTAAAAACATCTGAAAAACCTTAGTCCCCATAAAGTAGAAACATCCCGACGCCGCATGTCTCTGGCCAGCACCCACCAGAATAGCTGCCTTGGAGAAACCAAATCCAGAGTGGATCGGCAAAAACCAAGGCACATCAAAATCAACCCAAAAATGGCAAGCACACCCTAAGCAAAAATCAAATCTTAAAGTATAACAATCGAAATTCCAGATCGGCTCCAAAACTTTAAGATCTACTTTTTGGGTGAGGAAGACGGAAGATGGTGCGGAAGAAAGTGGTTGAAATTGACTGATCTGTAGGTTGGTGAAGGAAAAATGGAAGGGGTGGGGTTGAGGGAAAGGAGGTGCAAGATGGGGAATAAGGTGTGAAAAGAACGCAGAAAGTAAAAAGAAAAATTCCAAGCCGCCGACTCTCAAAATGGCAATCGGATGGAAAAGTTAAAGAGAAGGGAGGAAGAAACGGGAGGGGAGTGAGAAATTGAAGCTGTTAAAATTCTCTCACAAAAGGAGAGAGAAACCCCCACAGATGGAGGGAATAGCTCTCACATAGGCGAGAATTCGAAAAATTCTTGGACATAACGTTATATTTACATTAAGTGGATATTCCGTGTGCGAAAATAAATTGGTATTGAACTTGTTATTTACTAAATTCAAATCTCAGATTTTTCACTTACAGGTAACGGAATACGATTAGACTATAATACTAAGTGACAATTATCCAAAAATTTGAAACCAAAATCGAACACTGAGATTTGTTTTGTTTGGGTACAAATAAATTTAAAAACCCAAAAAATTACCTTTGCACGACCTGAAATTGTGTACTGCATCTCCTACGACCGACTCATCCATACGTCTACCTTCATAAAGTCACAAAATTACACAAATTCATTACTCGAGAAAAGTTCTACCGAGAGAGATTCTAGTTTCAGCAAAGATTGATGGTTTTTCAGCTAGAAAGTAGAAGGTGATGCAAAAAAATATTGACTTTCGGACTTGTTCATCAGCATCGGTGGCATTGGAAGTGCTCAAATTCAGTGGATATTGTTGATGTCATCAATATTTAATAAACGTTAACAAGACGTCAATATTTGGTATCAATATGTCAATGTAACTTGTTAATATGGCCTTGAAATGTATATATATAATATACACCAATATCATTTTTGAGGCGCTCTGTCTACCGTATTTTCAAC